TGTCTTCAGCCCAGGAGCAGTCAGAGAGCACGAGGAGGGCGAGGAGGCCGAGGGTGCACTTGAAGAAAGCCATGTTATCAGCCTGCAGGTGGACAGTGTTAAAACCTGGGTCCTGCTGCAGCCTCTGCTTATATATGGTGTATATATATATATATATATATATATCTGTATCTATACCAGCTGAGAAAACAAACAGCTTTACTCAGTGATAAGAAGCACATTGATGTGAAAACATGCGGTCGATTCCCACCCTAACTGAGATACATAAAATATGCACGTGGTCGGAAAAAAACTTAATGTGACCTCGTGAGACTGTCGGCCCCGAGTGCACCTGATTAATGACGAGCGATAGAACACATTAGTGATTAGTCTGCTTTTCTTTCGTTTTTGAATTCCCATAAACTGTTATTAAAATACGGGAGGTGAAGAAAACATATCACAGATTCATTTTCGTATAAATGTTGACATTGTGAGACATGGTGGAGTGTTTTGCGAACTTGTGGTGCTGCTAGACGGAAGACCAGGGTTATTCAGTGTTAACAAACACCTTAAAAAACAGCAAATAAAAATGTAGAAAAACAAAAATAAAATAGAGAGAGACATGGGAAGCTGTGTTTCTCGTAAGACTGTACCTGGTAAACAGCCAGGATTCTGTTGTCACACACCCTCTGCGTACGGATGTACGGGGGAGGGGAGCGTACACACACACACACACACACACACACACACACTTGGTAGCAGGGCTTGGGGGGACTTTCCCCACCATTGCACATAGGTTCACACAGAAAGCACCTGCTGAGGTTTGTATTCTGCATTAACCCTTTAGCTGGTCAAACACATATATGAGAATACCGTGGTATTAATCTGAACCCCCTACAGGGGACAGGTGGAGATGTGATGTTTGCACAGCTGCACGCACGATATTGGCGTTCTGGAGATACCGAGGCCCCGCACCATCCAGTCTCTGCACTCAAGATTTATTACTTATGGTCTTTCCCGGTTGCCTTAAGCACCGGCACTTGATCACGTCTCTGCATTTACGGTAGTTACTTATTATCCCTTTAGGGCTAATTGAAACTTCAGTTAGGGTCATGGGACCGCGTCTGCATTCCTGCATTTAGACGCCACTTACGCAAATGAGCACATATAAATAAGAATACCCTGGTATTAATCTCACGCTGGGGAAAAAGGTGTTTTATGTTTTATAATCATGTATTGTTTGGAGTGTCATGTATCTCTGTGTCCTGAAGGCATCAACCAGTGAGCGGGGTCTGTCATGTGTCCTGAAGGCATCAACCAGTGAGCGGGGTCTGTCATGTGTCCTGAAGGCATCAACCAGTGAGCGGGGTCTGTCATGTGTCCTGAGTACCAGCAGATATAATTGTGTTGGCATATACTGCTGACTTGGATAAACAGCACGATCATCCAGGTATAACAAAATTGAAGGGGTGTTACCCTGATACTGTCCTAACCCACGGAGGCACCGAGCCCCAGGTATTGTTAAAGAGTATAAGTATTCTCGGTCTTCAAGGAAAACGGTTGAGTCGGGGGAGAAGCCCACCAGGTTAGGACCTGCGCTGGGTTAATCTTTCAAACTTTTTCTCCGGACAATTGAACACAGCCTGCTCAGCTGAGGGCACAAGAGGGTTTTAAAATACTTTGTTGATTTTTATATTTTCCTGTTAATCACTTTTTCTCTGTATTTGAACCAAGAGAATATACTTTGAATTGGACAAAAATAAATAAGTAACGATTTAGCTTTTTCCGACCGACTCTTTTGCTTCATCTGTTTTGGAAAACCTGCAGAGGAGAGGTCTCCTCCGATTAGGGGACCACTCAGCCCCTGTGGTAAGTCTGCAGCGATCTCAGCACGGCACACAACTGATTGCATACTTTATGCGCACACACACACCTACAGATACCAACACCAGCTTTCTATAGTGAAGAGAGACCCGGAGAAGTCCCGCTTGATTTTTGAAAGAGCTCTATATCTGTTGAGCTCTGAGCAGGGACGGATACATTTAAATTTAATATAAAATAAATAAATTCAATAAAAGACTTTATAAGACCGACGGCTATTCGAGCGACCGGTTATACTGTTTAGTATATCACTGTTTTGGCGATTCGGAAAAGAAAGCAAACGAGCTATCGATACTGGGCTCGTGTTGGCGATTTATTACCATTTAGGGCAAATCAGCTACCGGTCCGAGGTTCTCTTAAGCCGAGGCATTGAGGCAAATCAGGGAGGGGTGAGCTGTCGGCCACGCTCTCCCATGAGGCCGGGTGAGCGACTCACATCGAGAGAGGACTGAACTCCGCCTTTCTCCCCCTTCTCGCAGCCTCTCGTTGCAATCAGGGGCGCTCACAGGGAGTGACCGGACAGCGGGGCACAAGTGCCGTGGATCCGTGGTCACTCCGAGGGCAGCTCGGGGCTGTCCGTTGCCGGCAAGGGTCCTCTCAGTTTGCGCATCCACAGCTGAGAGCCCCTTGTTCCACTTTTGTTCGTTTCAAACAAAAGGCCTCTTATTTATTTATTACTTTTTGTTTCTTGATAAATTAAAACATTTTGATAAAAAATAATTTTTAATAAAAAAAAATATATAAAAATAATTTTTTTTATTGAGTAAAAATTTAAATTAAGAAAGCGTGCGGGGGCACCGCGCGCGCTACACATTTTCTTCATTTTTTTTACATTTTACTGCCAACGAAAGCGCAAAAATAATTATAAAGCTAATTCACAACATTCAAAGCTTTCTAGAGAACATGGACATTCATTGGTTACCACCATATGGACCTTCTGAACAATGAGTATTCACAAAAGAACACATTCCCTAATAGAATGGAATAGAATAGGAAATAGATTAGCTTCCATATAAAGGCCCTTGCTCTATTACCTACTTTCTGCAGAGTGAAGCAGATGCTTCATGTGTTAAAGCTGCATTCTCTCTAATGACCACCAGGGGGCGACTCCTCTGGTTGTATAGAAGTCTATGAGAAAATGACTCTACTTCTCTCTTGATTTATTCCCTCAGTAAACATTGTAAACATGAGTTTATGGTCTCAATCTCTAGTTTCAAGTCTTCTTCAATACAGCATGATGTTCATTTAGTACATTATGGTCCATTTAGAGTCACACAGACCATAAAGCAGGGGATGCTTTAGGGCGGGGCTACACGGTGATTGACAGGTCGCTGCTGCTACCAGAGACGTATACGCCGTCTCTACGTCACTGCTCCGCATTCTAAAAAAGGTAACTTCCGGTTAATGTAAGTTATATTATATTGGTTGCAAAAAGCCAAGATGGCGACGACCAAAACGCGGAATTTAAGGCTTCAAGACGGCAGTTCACAGACCAATGGGCGCCGTCATGATGACTACGTCCACTTCTTATATACAGTCTATGGTAACCTGTCAATCACAGTGAGCCCTTCTATACGACCAGAGGAGTCGCCCCCTGATGGCCATTAGAGAGAATGCAGGTTTAAGACTCTTCAGCATCGGCTTCACTCTACAGAACCGAAGGTGGCAACCTTCGGTAAGATCTGTTGCTGAACTCACATCAACTCACTGTTGATCGAGGTCTAACTGATGATCGCTTATTGGTTTCCTTTGCCTTATTTTGAAAAGCCAGAAAGCGTGTTGTCTTTAAAGCATGAAATATGTTTGTAGTAATCTCTGATGTTGTCAAATGTAATGACGACTCATTAGCACAAATGAATATCAGTTATTGGCCTTTATAGCAGCCTCTGTACTCTGAATGGACGGATTACACTCTGAAATGTTCCATTAAGCCATTCCACATTTAATAAAAATATTTTTAAGCAAATGTCTCATCAATGTCTCTTCATACCAAAGATAACAGTGTGTAAAGGTTTAATCTGGCTATTTTTATATTTAACAGACGGACGAAAAAAATAACCTGTTCTTTAGAATTGTGACACTTTGAGAAATAAGGACACAGATTTCCTCAAAGTCTTCAGGCGCGGTTCGGTCGTCAATCATGTTTTAAAAATTAGATTTTGTCGCTCTACTTAGCTCTAATGAGTGTGAGGAGTCACATCAGTAATAAAGTTACTGTGAGGAACTTTTCACTGGTTAAGAAACTCAATTTAATATCAATGTTTCTTTATGACCGACATCAGTAAACAAGACCATCAAAGAGGAGATTGGTTATTTCTATATAGTTATTATAAATACTTGTCATCGGGCCAGATTCCGGTGAAATCAGATGAAACCATGCAGGTTCACCAGAAACCACTTCAGCTCAGACTCCAGCAGAGACCAGTCCACCGTGGACAGACCCAGATCCTCCAGCAGAGACCGGTCCACCGTGGACAGACCCAGACCCTCCAGCAGCCTTGGACCTGCAGTCGGACGTCGTCAGGGAGCCGGCACGACACCACGCTGCTGGAGACCAGGACGTATTGCTGGACCCGCTGTAGGGAAGGGAGAAAACGGGAGAACCAGAACCAGGACTGAGAGGGTCAGACTGTCAGACCCTGCTGCAGTAAAATGAGGTTTTCTAAAGAGTCTGGCACTCAGAAACACTACCACGTCTGTCCACAGGGAGCGCCTAATGCAACACAAGCTTACATGAGCATGAAATCAGGTGAACGTTCACGCAGAGAACAAAGGTCACAGTTTAAACAGCAGATAGGATCTTAATGCTAAAATGATGTCAGTTTACTGATTTTATACATGTAATATTAATCCCTCTATTGTTTATATACATTTATATTTGTACTCTGTTGCTTTTCTATTACTCTTCTGTTGTAATCTTAGATCAAACTGGCACTTTATTAATCTTCGGTATTAATGAAGTTGTATTTTATATTATCTTTAACAACAAAGTGCTCAGAGTCTCCACGTTAACATTGAACAGACAGCCAATAGAAATGTCTGCACACTCACCATTCACCTTGTATTCAGTTTGATTTACGTATATATTTTCATTTATGATGATAAATGAGTGAATGATGCACAGTCGTCACATTAACAACATTTATTCAGACATCAATAAGAGCAGCAAGCTGGAGACGAATAAAAAGTACAATCAGATGCAGAAAACCTTCAGCAACCTTTGAATATTTTCATCTTTAAAACAAAATACTTCAGTGAAGACTTCACCGAGTCGTTAACTTAACTGGGTTATGATTATTAAGAGTTTCTGAAGACAGAAACCTGCCGAGTCCAGTTCACTGCAGAGAGCAGAAGATCCAGGTCTCCAGGAGGAACGTGGATCGGAAGATCCAGGTCTCCAGGAGGAACGTGGATCGGAAGATCCAGGTCTCCAGGAGGAACGTGGATCGGAAGATCCAGGTCTTCAGGAGGAACGTGGATCAGAAGGACAGGTTGATGAGCGGAGCGTTGTTCTCCCTCTTCTCTTCTGGACTCCACTTGATGAGCGGAGAGCTCAAGTCAATCAGCTGCTGAAGGAAATAAAAACAGGTTCTATTTACAGATGAGGGATTCTGTTTGATACAGGTCGTTATAGAAACCGCACACTGAACTGTGTTTGTGGATATTAAGACGTAAACTGAGGTGTCAGCTTTTACCTGAGTGGAGGTGCAGGTCTTGCCGCTGGTCCTGATCAGGTCGGGGGTGTTGGTCAAGTCGATGAGCAGTTTCTCTTGAATGTGCAGAGTCGGCGCTGGAAGATCCAACAGGAGAACCTGAAGAGAGAGCAGAGAGTCTGTTATCAGTGAACCATTGGTGACCGTCTGAAGACCTCCGGTCACAACGAGTCAGAGGGGCGTGACCAGCGACCACGTCACGCACAAGCTGTGATTAGGTACTTTTCTGGCTTCACTACGCTTCATCGTGATCGGTTAACTGTAGAACAACACTAGTATGCTAAAGTGTGAACAGAAACAGGAGTGAAACTATATTCCAAACTAGACATTCGGGCAGAAGCTACAAAAGCACTGAGATCTGAAACTCCAGAACAGACAAACACGAGTTTAGCCGCTGAAACTCTGGCGGGAAGAAGAACTTCGGATGAAACCGCGAACTGCAACGAGACAGAAACCTGCGACGACACGACGAACTCGTTTGTTGGAGATTCTTCCACAAACATTTGACAAACTGAATTTTCTTCAGATGCTCCAACGAAACCAAAAACTCTGTACGTCAACTCATGCTTTATTCATCTTTTGTAAATTAAATTGAGAAACAGTTTTTGTACGATTTGAAATTAATCCATTGAATTAAATATTGAAAAAAAAATCCAGGCTGTAAATAGACCTTGGTATACTGTGTGTGTGTGACCTCTGACCTCCTGTATCTTGCTTTTCTCCTCTGTAGTTTGCAGTTCGATCAGGTGCTTGATGGGCTCTGATTCGCCCTGACTCGGAGCTCCAGGATCTGCGCTCTCTGATTGGTCAGGCTGTGAAGGGCTGGTGGGCGGGGCAGCAGGCAGCTCCGGCTCCTCCTCCTCCAGACAGAAGGGCTGGACCTCGAGGGCACCAACAGGCTCCGCTTCCTGTGCGTCTGCAGGGGCGGGGCTATACAGAAACAATACCAACACGGCGATGAACGACTCATGGTAATCTCAGACTAGCTTTCCGTCTGGTCGACAGCGGTTTAAAGCATCTCACCTGCAGCTTCTCTCTCTCCTGGCTGAGGCGGGGGCGGGGCGAAAGTCAAAGGTGGACGGTGCTCTGGTTGGCGTCGCGACAGGGATGGAGGACATCCTGCGCCTGACGGGGGTGGGTAGGGCGGAGGGACGCCTTGTCTTAGCCTGCAGCGACGTGCAGCTGCCAGCAGAGGGCGTCTGAGGACCAGCAGACGGCTTCTGAGGAAGACTGCAGGAGAGGAAGGCGCCAGTTGATGACATCACTGATCAGTCAGGAAGGCAGGTAGAATTTAACCCAAACGAACCAAACTTCTAACTGAATCACCGAAACCCGCCGGTGGGATTGAAAAGCATGTTTTCTTAAAATAATCTCCAAAACTACACCGTTTATCACATCCAGAAGCTGTAAAAAACAACAACAACATCAGATTTTCATCTTTCCGATGGTCAGTGAACACATCATGTGTGACGAACGCTTCAGTCAGAAAAAGCAACCAAAACGAACCTTAAAATTGTAATTTCATCAAAAACTCGCCCCAAATAAACCGTTAGAAGTAACCAGATTCTGTAAAAAAACATAGAATTCTGAGCTCCTCAGCGGAGCTATGAAGCCGTGATCGATTCATCTGAGACCAACAGTCACGTGACAAACATTCTGTGAATCTTCGACAGAATTGCCGCCTGCTGAGATATTTTAAGAAGAAGTTGTAAAATGTAAATAGCTCGATATACAGAGCACGTGGAGCCTCATTCTATTTTCCAACTGGATAAAAGCCTCCTGTTCATGAGGTTAGACTGCTTGCATACTGCGATCATTTTAACTTACGTAAAGTGTCTTTGAATACCATAAACAGAGCTCTGTAAATAAAAAGATTGCCACATATGGATATCTGTTCTGCTCCGTTTGTGTCTCATTCAATAAGTAAATATTGAGATTTTTACCCTGACGAATAAAATGTATCATCAGTAAATCTGATGTGAATGTAACCCGTCTGTGTGATGTCATCTACCTGTCCACGCCGCTCATGGCCGTCAACCTCTTTGGCTTTGAGGAGTCTGGAGCTGAAACACAAAGACGGACAGAGTGAGAGAGAGACAGACAGGTGTCCTCATTTCACCACAGAACCAGACAGAGGTGTGTGTGTTAGATAGATAGATAGATAGATAGATAGATAGATAGATATATGCTTCAAAACGTGTCAGCATCAACGCTCACTCTATGTTTAGCAATTAACTAAATTAATTGAAATATTGCAAAGACTTGGACAATAATATCCAACAGAGTCGAGTTTCTTTGTGCTGATTTCAGAAGCAGAATTCATATTTTTGTGTCTGCAGTTTGGTCTGATCTTCTGTTTTTTTATTGGTTTAAATAAAGTCTGAACACTGACAGAATAACATATTTCTAAATAAAGTCAAACCGCTCAAACGGACGTCTCTTACCGTCTCCTTGGCGGACTCCTCTGACTATTCCGCCGGGTGTCGGTGCGACCAGCGCCTCTGGTTTGGATTTGGTCTTCAATCCGCTCTGCAGCCGGACCGAAGCAGCCACGGGGATGGAGGCGGACCTCTCCAAAACCCTCTTGGCGGGCGTCACCTGGAGGGGCGTGGCCTCAGCTCTCTTAAGCGGCGTGGACCGGGTGGCTTTGACACGCTCCACCTCAGACAGCTTCCTGGCCTGTGTGGACAGCGAGCGGCAGCCAGTGGTGGAGGACGCTGGCTCTGCGGCGGCGTAGACGGTGGAGCGTCGCGGCCTGCTTTGATTGGCCGGTCTGCTGATGCTGGGGGCGGGGCCAGTGGAGCTGCTCTGACTCCGGCTCAGAGATGAGTTCAGTTTACCTGAGGAGACGACAGTCCAACCGCTCCAGAATTAGTTTGTGACCAGATCCAGACCGCTTCCTTTAAAGGGTCTCGGTGCTGTGGTTTTGGTCAAGTCTGGATGTGATTTAGAGATACATTATTTGACGGAGCATATTGTGCATTTTGTCTTTAGATTTGTCGGTACAGGACGGGTACAGGTTTTACTGTGGTCAGCAGACCACCTTATATGTTGTAGTTTTGTTCACAGCATACAGGATAGATACTTGATAGCTGCTAATGTGTAGTTACTGTTACAGCCTACTCCGTTTTGGAAATCCCGCACACGGGATGTTGACTATTAACATTTGTTAGCAGTTAGCGTACCTTTAGCTGGGGAAAGAGAGAGGCTGGAGTTGAAGCTGGACACTGAGGACGAGGATGACGACGTGTTCTTCCTCTCTGTCACCCTCCTCTTCTGAGGGGGCGGAGCTTTCACACCTGACATGTTCCCCAGAGCACGCTGACAGAGAAAAATATTATGTACATTGTTTTATACAGGATGTTTAGAATAGATAGCATCAATAGTGACTGTGGGAATCACTGATATACACATTCAATATCGTCAATTTAATTTAATGCGTTTGGCTGCAGTGACTGACTCTGCCCAACAGGTGGAGCTGTTCCACCAGAATCAGCTTTAATGGTGAAGTTTGTGCAGAGTCGGTTTTGAACAGGTGTGCCACCTTGGTGGGCGGAGCCAGCGTGCGCTTTCCCTGAAGGCTGGAGTTGAGGGAGGAGTCGCTGACGTCAGACGCCACACTCGCAGAATCAGAGAGCAGATCCTCAGACGACTCCGCTCTGCTGGAGAGGCGACAGGACGGACTCCGCCTCCAACTTCCCAACGGCTGAAACACGTAAAATAATTAAATGAAAGAGCAGACAGGTGATCAGCAGAAAGACTTATGGATTCTCTACCGGTTGCTTGAAGACTCCTCGCAGCCAAGAAATAGCACATAATCCCCTGTTAGACAGATACATTGAGTTTCTTTCTCTCTTTGCTTTTGTTACAGATTAAACAAACTACATCAAATGTGTTAATTAGCTTTAAGAGGTTCTGTTCGGGGGGGCTTTGTTACCCAGGCTGAGGGCGCTATCCATCTGTCCACAAGTGACCATTTACTCAAATTTCAAACTATTGCTTTTAGGTAACACTATTGAAGACAGCCAGAATAATAATTACGCCTATTCACTGCAGGAACAACCCGACCCGTGATATGTGGCCATTGTCTTTGGTTTGCTTTTGTTTCCTCCTTTGAGAGTTTTTGGAAATGATTTGGGCAACTAAATGCATGTTTAGCATTTCCCAGTAACGTTCAGGTAAAAATGGATTTAGCGGGGCAATAAAAAGCAAACACTACATCATCACATCTGTTCTCTAGCAGATTTTTAAGCCACAGTGGAAACACAAGAAGAACCAATGACTCAAATGGTTCTGTAAGCGACAGTTTGTTGAGTTCCTGCAGTGGAGAAGGTGTAGCAAGACATCTGCTGTTCCAAACCGACGGTTTCACCTGCGAATCAAAAGAGTAAAAACACAGAAACGTCTCTCCTACTTTGCTCGGTGGTTGCATTCTGGGTTTCTCCACTCTGCTCTTGCCGGCAGAACAGGACATTGTTGTGGCAGCCGGTCTGCTCGGCAGCACCACGGCCACGCCGAGGGTGCCTTTCCCTCGCAGCCCCGTCCTGGGCAGAGGCTTGACCGCGGCCGCGGGACTGGAGGTGCTCCGTCCGGCAGTGGGGCGGGTGGATGAGGCTGTAGTGGCAGGGTGGGTGGATGTAGAGGTCGGGCGGGTGGATGTAGATGTAGAGGCCGGGCAGGTGGATGTAGTGGAGCTGCTTCCTCTCAGCAGGCGGTGCTGGACAGCAGGCGGCAGCTGCTTCATGGGACTGTCCTGCACACAGAAGGTCTGCCGTTTGATGGGGCTGAGTGCGCTGGCGGTCTGATGGAGCACGCCCAGTTTGGCCACGGCGTCCTGGACGAACTCGTCCTTGTCGGCAGTAGTGTCGGCGGTCTCGGCATCCTCGCCGCGTGGCTGGCTACTCAGTTCAGAGCACTGCAGCTGGTCGGCTAGTCTGTGGGCTTCCTGACACACAGCCTCCAGCTGATCCCCGCTCAGTGGACTCCAGCTCGCCCGCACGCCGCCTCCTCCTCCTCCTCCTCCTCCTCCTCCTCCTCCTGCACCGCCGCCGAGAGACGCCACGTTAACGGAGACGCACCTCTCCTTGTGGCTGACGGGACCCAAGAATACCTCATCTTCATCACCTTTGGAGCTTCAGAGCAGAGAGAGACACACCACAGCTGAGAGGAACGCAAAACAAGAGAGCTGGAACCAGACATGCAGCTCCAAAACTGAGCTCAGGTTTTAACACTTAAACCTGAAATTATTTTAAAGTCAAACAAAAACATGAAACCAGAAAATACATGTATAAACATAACTGTACATCTTCATTTTGTATTTCTCCCTTTAGTTACTAACACTTTGTTCTGTTTTATTCTATCTCTAATTTAAAATACTATCTGTTTATACATATGAAGTACTTATATAATGTGATATTATTTATAAATTACAAACTACTGTACTTAACAATATACACAAGTACAGCTGAAATGAAATTACGCCAACTACATTTCAATAATCGTTCAGGTTAGATGCAAAAACATTTCATGATCCTCAAATGTGAAAACTTAAAATTATTTTCATAATTGTTATTTATTTGTGTGTCAGTTGTTTAGACAAAACAAACATTGTGAAAGTGTCTCTTTATTTTCTGAAATTAAACCAAACGAGCAATCAATCGAATCCATTAAATAGGGAAATTATTAAGAGATTAATCCATTAGTTTCATTATGTATTGAACACATTGAGTGAGCATCATCTCCACCAACTACAAAATATATATATATATATATCTATATATAGATATATATATTATAACAGTCACAGGGGACATGTTTCTGCACTGAATAAGTTTATTGTTCACACTTTAAGCACACATGGCTGATAATACTCACATACTTTTACTTAACTTAGTTTCAATGCTTTTAAGTATTTTTAAAATTAGGTAATGTTATTATTATGCTATATTATAATGCATCCACCTACCTGGCAGGTGACAGAGAAACATCGAAGTCGAACTTCTCATCAGTGAGAAAGAACAGATCTGATCAGAGACACAAACACGGCTCATTTAAAACACACGAACACGGTGCACACCGTGGTTAACGCCGACTCTGGATTAGATAACACTGGTTAACTTGATGTAAACGTTACCGCTGTTAGCTCCACAGTCCATCCCGCTGTTTGGTTCTTCTCCGTGGGGGAACAGATGGATCCGGATCAGACCTGCAGCGGAACCTTCAACTATAATGACAATATTTAACACTAAGACTCTTAAGACTGCACTTAAAACACGAGCTTCAGTCGTGCTAGCGTTACAGTTAGCACGGCTTTAACGTTAGCACGCTTTAGCTAAACCAAAGGTCAACTGTTAGCTTTAAACGGACTACATTTAAACATGAAACTCACAGTTTAATTAAAGTACAGAAACTACAAACCTTCAAGTTCCTCTGAAAAACTCACAAATATTCTTTTCTGCTTCGCATTCAAACGGTGACACGAAGAAAACACACATTAACCTCACAAACGATTCAAATCTGCTGCGCTGCTGGTCACGTGACGCAGGCCCACTCAACCATTGGTCGGAAGGGTGTGTGACGAAAGCAATGAGCAGAATTGTGGGGATTGTAGTTTGTAGTGTTATAAAAATATATTTACGTGGTTTTTTTTTTTACCCCCAAAGCAATATAATATTAAATATTTTATAGGTTCCTTGTTTTTGATGCTTTTAAATATAATTTATACGTTTATACAATGAAATATGTTATTCACATTAACAAGGGACACATAGTACGGAAACTAGAAAGAATTAAGGAGTAAAATCATTAAAATATCAATCCTTTACAGCAAATTGAGCCATAAAAAGTTTATTTAAAAACGCATTTTGTTAGGAAAGTTTGGATACATTTTTTTCTGATAAAGAATAAAATCAAATATATTCATTAAGACAGACTGAAAAAAGACAGGACAAAAGATGCAATGTTTATCACATAACTTTTTAATATATTTAGATATTTTTCATAGTTCTAAATTAATGTACGTGTTTATTCTTAAGTGTACACATTTGTTACATTTTTTTTTTAAATGTGTTGTCATGAGTTTTCCTGTGCTCACTGTACTGTTGTTTTTGTATTTTTGTTATTTTAATAAAATAAAATAAAACTGGTTAGAATGTAGACTAGAAAACGAGGACATTTAGTATCAGTTACACAGAAACTCATTCAGAAGCTCTTCAATCAAATCACACCATCTTCCACCGCATTACACCGTGTAGGCCTACTATAGATGTACTATTGATGATGTACTATTGCTACTTTTTCTCAAGTTAAAGATCAATATACTTCTTCCACTACTAAATAAACAATGGATGAATGGTTAAAACCTTTCCAAGTGGTAGCTGTACAAAAAAAAACCTACTTTTGGATAATTTAGAAATGATTGAATATGTTCTGAACTGAAACAGCTTTTTAATTGTAAAATTAGACCTTTTCCTTTAAACGTTGCCACTTTAACGCGACTTATTTTCTTGTAAAATGATTTCTCTCATAACATGTTGAATAACTATTTTTCTTTGGGAATTCTAATGTTAATTACACACAATATTTAAACTCTTTATAATCTCTTTCGTATCACACTTATATTTTGAGTTTTTTTTCTTGTAAAATTATAAAAAAGAATTTCATCTTAATTTCCCAAAATATAAAAAACCTCCACAGGTTATCACAATATTAAAGTTATAAATAAAACAAATTTATTCAAAAAAAAACACTGAAACTTGTCGTCTTTACTCTCACGGTAAAACAACTTTTAATGTCATTTTTAACTTTATTTTCATATTATAACTATTTCTCATTAAATTATGACCTGGAAAATATGTTTAAAAACTCTTTTGTGTTAAATTAAGGACGTTCATCCTTTTATTTAATTAGCTTCACATTTCATGGATTTGTTTGTATTACAGATCCTGTTTAGTAAAGCCTAAAGAATAATACTGATCCGTTAACATAATAGTTATGACTTGGTTTACTTTACTAATTCATGTATTTCTTAATGTTAGCGCTCAGATTATTACAGATAAATGATTGCAACGTCTTAGTTGGACGTTTAAATGTGAACCATGCGAGTCTCTGTCGGTCTAACGTGTTTTTAGGATGTTCGATAAAGAATGACTTCAGGCTTCCTGTAGGACAGGTATGATGATGTCACGGATAAGGTGGAGCCTGAAAAGGAAGGATTTATGATGTCATAAAAGCATCACAGGAGGCGGCGCTTCAGCAGGTTGATGTGAAGCACCAGAGACGATGAGTTTCTTCTTCTTCTGTCTGGTGTGAAGCTCCGTCACAAACGTCCTGCTCTGGAAGTTGTTTTTAACTTTTAATAACTTTTTGGTTTTACATATTTTGAAACGACAACAACCTAAATTCTCTCTTTTTTTTTTTTTTACAAAAACTTTAGAATATAATCGAATGTTAGACATTTACTTAAACTCTTCTGTCTACAAACACCCCCCCCCCTTATTAAAGCTGAAGGACTTTAAACATTTCATTCACAGATCCTGAAAGTTAAGACACTAAACTAAACTTGTCAGAATAAAATGAGCTCCGGCTACGTCTGAACACCAACATGGATATTTACAGATCAGAATTATTGATCGATCACCTCACAAACACTCTTCTCCTAAACAACAACTGTAGAGTTCATGGCTATTAAACACAGAAGGAAACGTCAGTCTGTGTGAACCTGCACCGCCTCTCAGCACACAAACAACAAACACACCTGGACACATTTCTGCTTCCTGGATTCTAAAACCAGCAGGTGAACGAACTCCGGACGAGAACCAATCAGACGAGTCTGTTTTTAAAATGTATTTTTAAAGAAGAACCAGAACTCTCGCCGTAACGAACACGGTACCAACAGACCGTGGGTAACATGAAGTGGTCTGGGGCTTCAGAGGGAGGTCTCCAGGCTGTGCAGGGGGCTCCCCGGACAAGGCGGCAGCCCCGCTGAGTGTGACGGGATCAGGCCGGGCAGCGGGACGATGTGGCTCATGGCGTTGTTGTTGTTCTGATTGAGCGAGGACGGGACGGGCGGAAGGGCGGTGAGCCCGCTCGGTGGCGGGAGGAGGATGGTGAAGTTCCGCTTGGTGGGAGCCTCGTCCTCGCACTCGGCCTCGTCGATCAGCGGGATCTGAGCCACCGAGTCCTCGATGCGGAACTCGGGGTGACTCATGAAGCTGTGGATGGAGCTGCGGGACTCTGGCGTCTCCAGACCTTCGTAGGGAGACACGCTGTCTCTGAAGGCGTTCACCACTCGGATCTGGAGGAGGAAGGAAAACAAACGATAAAGGAAAAATTCCCGTGTTTTTATCTCCGACATGAGGATCATGAGATCCGTCACGTGTGTGAGTTCCTGGGTGTGTCTGTCCAAAGCTAACCTCGCATTTTGATGCAGCAAACAATCATTTACAGCCGCATGCTCATGATCCTCTCCTGGTTTCAGTGACGCACTTTCTCAAAACCAACTTTTATTGCCTGTTTCATATTGTCTTTGTGCATCGCCGCAGGCCGGAGACACACTGGGGGAAAAACAGTCTAATAACAATATGCGCGACACTAAAGGCTTCAAATATGCTGGTTCATCACTATTTGTTGATTTATTTGTTTTGATTACCAGGTTAAATAACGTTTTAGAGACCTGCAGGCTTAATGGATCACTGTACAGACTCAAACAGTGTTTTAGTAACAAAACACTAGTTTGGTCTCAGTATGATGACAATTCATGATCTCATATCGAGTTATTCACTTCTTCCATGCAGAATTACAGTCCAGGCAGTAGCCAGAAAAGCGATACTGTGAACATGTCTTCAGTGAGCAGCGGTCGGTCCTCTGCAGGCTTGTTGATCCGTGAACTCTGGTTCTAATTCAACCATCAAAGTGAAATCACTGACGTTCGTCTCCTGGATAACCGGAGTTAGCTCCCTTGAATTTCCACAGAAGATTATACAATGAACAAATCCTCTGCCTCACAGATGTGCAGGCAGACAGGCAGCTGTTTGGTTTTTAGTAGATCCCTCTGCCATTAGCTACGGTAGTTAATCCAGTGGATTACTTATTTTTAACTTCCTGTTCTCTTTTGTTTGGACTCAAACATTTGAACTGATTTATGTGAAACTGAAGTATATGTGGAAAGCTTTAGGAGGCCCACGCTGCTGCAGATGGAGTCTCCTTCATAATGTTGAATCCATACCTGTGTGGAGATGCGGTTGAGGCTGCGGCACCAGAGCACCTGGCTCTTCTTCAGCTCCATCTCAGCGTGGTCGATCTCGTTCACGTCCTTCATCTCCTCCAGCTCCTCCTGGGGGATCTCCTCCTGCTGCCGGCCGTGACCCGCCGTCTTCAGGAACGTCAGCCAGCGGGTGGGCACACTGGACACCAGCTGAGAGGGGGACCGACACAAACGTTACACCCCAGTCAGACACAACGGCACCACTTCCTGTTCCTCAATACCTCCGAGACCTGAACATCTTACCACCTGAAGGTTCAAGAGTTTCTATTTGACTAATGACGACAATCAGCTGCAGAGAGGACCAGGTCATCATTTGAGCATAATTTAGTAAGAAGTTAGTAAGAGTAAGAGTTTCACTGGCATTATCTTTAGTTCAAAACCAGTGCCCTGTTGTTGAGGGCATGGCAGGAAGTGATGAAGGATGAAGTTCAAAGCCATTGCTGCACAAATAGCCTGTAAAGTTATAATCATTATTCAGCATTTAAACTGAATCATGTAGTTCTTCCTGCCTGGTAGCAAATGTGTCTTATTAAGATGCTGACCATGTAATCACAACGTTCCCAGCTCAAGTCCAGCTGGAAACCTTTGTTGAACATCAACCCTTATCTCCCATCAGTACCCGTCTACTATCAAAATAATAGACAAAGTGTCTCACCTGTCCCCACAGGAGGCTGCCAAAACCCATACAGATGCACCACAGCCACTGCTCGAAGTTCAGCCTCACACAGCTGAACGGTTTACCACCAAGCTGCACGATGATGATCTACAGGAGAGAGAGAGAGAGACACCATCATACAGGGAACCCTCTCACTGGAGGACCTGACCGGGTGTTGACGATGAGCCTCGGCCTTCAGCGGTTACCTGTATGAGGAAGGTTCCCACGATGATGGTGCAGAAGATGGGGTTTTTCTGGACGCCCTCAAACACGTTCCTCTCGCCGTGAATTTTGCGGGCATTGAGCTCGTTAAAGATCTGCATCAGGACGAAGGTGTTGAACACGATGGTGTAGTGCTCAGAGGGCGGAGAGTGGAGCGGGGCGTTCCTGCCACAGTCGACGTCGAATATCTTCTCACCTGTGAAAAAGGGAGGGTCACAGACTACTGAATCTGTCCATGTTGTACCTCAAAAGTCTTTTTATTGACACATAAATTTCCCTGTGGTGCATCCACTGACCAATGAAGAGCAGGGAGAAGATTATGGTCAGTTGGTAGACGGCGTGTCCTAGGATGTTCTTCATCATTGTGCGGGAAA